TTTTTATTTTTATTTGGAGGCTCTGCACCTTTGAAAGACTTCGCAACATATTGCAGACTTCCGTTTTTATCACTGTCTTTGTATGGCTAACAAAAGCGGGATTACCTAAATCGATCAATACATGTTATTGTTTTAAATACGTGCAAGACGAGACTGACACTTGTAAACAAAAATATAAGCATCACGGCTGAGTGACCAAGCGTCACGGACAAAGGGCAAGCATCACGACAGAGTGTCCAAGCGTCACGGTACCGTGTCGCTTCAGAGGCCTGGGGAGAACACTGGGGTCGACCCCCTACCCTGGGTGAGTGTGCCACAGACTCAATAGGAAGGCCAATTCCACTGGCTGAGATTCATTCACTAAGGAATACAACTTTGAGGGAATCTTGGTTAAAGCGCAGTGGTCGTCGCGCTGCGCATGTGTCACAATTTTGTTGATAAACATTGATTTTTCCACAATCCAATGCACTCTTCAAATGTAATTCACAAGTATGAGGTTTGACCTGGGTGCGACTTGCACTGATTACCGCCGATGACTCCTTTGATATCTTCCAATCACAGGAATATATTTTAATGGTAGCAAACTATCGTAGATTTACTATTTAGGTTTCACTAGTTGCCGGAAATGCATTGCTTATTACATTATACATTGTGTACGAAAAACTGTCCTGTAGTTCAAGTATTTGAAAATATTTGTTTCCTATATTAATAGCCATATTCAATGACACTTTCAGTAATCTACAAACATCACAAATTACAATATTTACTGTTATGGGAATAAGCACAAGGTCACTTTACTTTTGCATAGTGTAAGATCACTTGAATTTTACCATTCAGTTTTCTGATTAAAGTAAACATGTAAACAAAAGTTGTAACTATGAATTGATATTTGTTAAATCATTATTTGATGTACATTCATTGTGGAATCAAGCATGGTTTCCTGATTTTAATTGTTTGACTACCAATGTACATGTATCTGCAAAGTTTTCAATCTGGACGCTTCACAATGATTATGTGCAAATGCACAGACGTAGATCTTGGTCAGTAACTCAGATTTGATAACTTTCTGTTTTGTTTTTCAGAAATAAAGCCATAGCAGATTATCTACGGTCCAATGGATATGAAAATGCACTGGCTGAATTCCAGAGAGAGGCTGATATGGTAAGTGTGGTTGTAACCTTGGGTAAATCTTCAGTGTCATGGATAGATGCGTGTGGTGACTCAATGAAGCACCCTTATTCCATGGGTATATCTCTGACAGGACAGAGGAATCCATGAAAATATACATTAGTATAGAAGTATAGAAACAAAAGTTGAAAAATATATTTTATAATATTATTTTATAAGTGCATAGACTCATTGTTTAACTTGGAGGTAAATATGCACATGATAAAATAGATTAAGGTATGTTAACTGTTGCAAGGAAGACCAATAGTGCCTTTCAAAACATTTGTGCCTTTCAAAACATTTGTGCCTTTAGTTGTCAGCACAGGCACTTGTAATTATATAAAATGCGCAACACTAGGTTGTTGTAATTGTGAGATACTTTAAGCGAATTTTGCTAGGCTCAGTCGTACTTGCCTTGCCACCATTCAATATTTAATATCAAATAAAATTCAAACTATTACTCTCCAAATGCCTCAGTTTGATACTTTAGTGTAACATTGGTAAATTTTGGCTTCACTATGTGAAATTTTAAATTTTCTATAGTATTGCATTTTGCATTATTCCTGTGCACAAGTCCAGCTAATGTTCTAGTTTGTTTTTATCCACAGCCTGGTGATGTTGAAAAGAAATATTCAGGTCTGTTGGAAAAGAAATGGACCTCAGTTATTAGGCTACAAAAGAAAGTGATGGACTTAGAGTCAAAACTTAGTGAATGTGAAAAAGAAGTTTCTGGTGGCGCACCAACAAGAGATAAACGATCTCCGTCAGAATGGATACCGAGGCCTCCTGAAAAATATTGTCTTACTGGTCATCGTAGTCCAGTTACCAAAGTTTTATTTCATCCAGTTTACAGTGTTATGGTATCCTCATCAGAAGATGCAAGTATTAAGGTGATTGTTTTTCTTCTACTTGAAAGTTGAAGTATGAAGACTGCATTAGAACTGCTAGTTCACATTTTCAATTGCTGAATTTTATTGGTCTTTAATGCTTTACTATTAATAGTAATTTTGAGGAGGCACTCACACTAAAACAAGTATTTTAAAAAAGGTTTTCTAGAGAGCACTTGTGTTACTGCTCAAAGTGTTTTACTGTTGAGGTAAGGATTATATTTGATCTTGATGTATTCAATGATAATTGCCCTCCATCGCTACGCCAGCATTTCCATGGTATGTACATTGCTGTGCTTTCTTGAAATGATGTCTGGCTGAACCTAGACCATAAATCGCATTGAACAATTTCTGTACAGGTGTACAAGCAGTGTCTTTGTTCCTTTTGTTTTCTCTTCAAATACGCCCAATAAACATGTGAGCAGCTCATATACTGACGCACACAAAGACCAGAAATGCTTCTCTGGGATCACCATTGATTTGATTTGATTTTGTTTGTCATCAGTTCAGAACACTCTGTTGTGATAATTTCATGGGCCTATCTACCATGTTGTAACCGTTAAACATAATACAACCAAAATAAGCTTTTCAACATTTCTACTGGATAAAATCACAATTGTCGTAGTACATTGCAGGCTGTAGAAAATGTATATTACTAATCTGCATGTCTGAATTTGCCATGGCATCCCTGGATATGCTCTGCAGTGAAAATGGCAGACTGCACCTCTTTAGCTACGTTTCAACAACAATAATTTATATCTAATGAACCAAATACTTTTTTCCTACACCTAGACTTACAAATCTATAGTACTTACAGATGACTAATCACAATCATTTCATCATCCATTACCTTGTCAGGTTAGACTTCCTAACTTGTTTCTCAATCACAGGTATGGGACTATGAAACAGGTGATTATGAAAGAACACTTAAAGGACATACGGATTCTGTACAAGATATAGCTTTTGATCATACAGGCAAATTACTAGGTAAGATTCATCTCTTTTGCATATTTCCAAGATGTAGTGGCTGTGTTTTTAAATGTTCTGGTGAAATTGCTTCGTTTAGGGGTACCTGATCATAAAAACTGGTACATGAAAAATGCAAGTCATTCATGAATGGTGCTCACTACTCATGTGTTTATGTGTAGTGTAGTGTAGAACAATGTTTTACGTTCTCTTGTGTTCATTTCTAGTTTGTATTTTGTGAGTTCTTGTTGCAATTTTGACGCATTCAACACAAAATTGATATTTTTTAGCTCCTCCCCCCCCACCATAAAAACAATTTCTGTTAGCCGTGACTCTTTAAAGGCAGTGGTCGTCACGCCACATCCTGTTCGATTTGTGATTCGTACACATGATTAAGGAGTGACACCACTTGCTTCTGAATCCAATGCTGAACAATTAATTTGAAAATAAGTTGTATGTTTAAAAACATGTTCGCTCTTAAAAAATTAAAATGGTGCACAGATAATATGGTGTAGAAATTATTTCCTTCATTCATTCTATATAAGCTGCCAATACAATCCAGAATTTGCTTGAAAAGTGCTTCAGCTATCAATTTTATCATGTGTCTGATTTCCCTACGCCATTAATTCATTGTCTAATATTCTACACTAGAGAATTATACTTCCGCAAGTTATTGAAAAATGTGTAGTGTAGTGTGTAGTGTAGTGTAGTGTAGTGTAGTGTAGTGTAGTGTAGTGTAGTGTAGTGTTGTGTCGTGTCGTGTTGTCGTGTAGTAAATTGCAGGGCAGGACAGTATTGTCAAACATTCCTTCTTTATAATGCTATAATACAGTTAATAGTAATAGTTGTAGATGAGCTCTTTCTGACAATACTTGCATCATATTTTTTACAGCATCATGCTCTGCAGATATGACTATAAAACTATGGGATTTCAATGGTTATGAATGTATAAAAACGCTGCATGGTCATGATCATAATGTGTCGTCTATTTGCTTTATGCCAAGTGGTGATTTTATTGTTTCATCATCAAGAGATAAAACAATCAAGATGTGGGAAGTATCAACCGGGTAAATATACTCTTTCCAATATTTGATAGTTTGAAAAGAAGTTAATATGTATTGATTGCTTTTCCCTATTTAAGTATTAAAGTAAGTCTCTGAAGTTTTGGAAAAGCAAGTTAGCAAACTTTCTCACTAATTCGCTACGACTTGTTGATTATGATAAAGCAGGTTCACAATTTGAAAACAGTCACTTAATCATTTGAGTAAAACTATAATGCAGCTTAGTCCATTCCATTTTAAAAGAGAGATATAGTACTTGGCCCTTCTGAAAAGCAATACTGGTGAATGCGACATAAAAATAAATTTATAGTGTTCGAGGACAAATTGGGGTTGAGTGACATTGCATTGGCTATCCCTGCTCCAAATGGTTGCTCCAAAATGGGTGGTGACCACTTGTCAGCACTGCAAGTCTGCTAGACCATATGCTTAGTCAAAACTGTAGTTGTCATTGAATTAGTGAGCAAGTCTGCTAACTAGTTCCTCTAATACTAAAGCTTACTGAAAAAAATCTTTTATGAATGTTAGTGCTACCATACTTAATGAATATGTGACTTCTATGATAGTATAAAGTTACTACCGTAAAATCTGTATTAGTAGCCGCATCCCTAATAGAAGTGCCCATTCTTTTAGAATAATTGAGAACCAAAAATTCATCATTTCTCATATGTGTAGGTGCTCTAATAGAAGCCGTATCCAGTCTACTGCATTGTACCATTTTAATAGAAGCCGAGGTTTCTAATACAGATTTTACAGTATAGCTTTGGCACATGCAGTGATCATTACTGCTTCTGTGAAAATATGAGCCAAGAGTTGATTCTGAAAAAGACAGCCTCAAGGAAATGATATAATGCGAGTGACACCAGTGTGCACTTCTCTGATTTCTTTTAAACATCTTAAAATATTTAAGAATGCAGCCTTTATGGTATTCACTGCCTGATTTCTCATTGCATCATTTCTTATAAAGATATTGTGTGAAGACATTTACTGGACACAGGGAATGGGTTAGGTCAGTTAAAGTTAACCAGGACGGCTCACTACTTGCTAGTTGTTCTAATGACCAGGTAAGATATTACTCATTCCAACACACATTATTGTACATTCATTTTGAGATGATAAAATAAATTGTCAACTGTGTACATTGGTTTCAGTGCCCAATAAATGCTCTTGTACATGTGATTCAGTAGAAATAGTTAAAGCAGGGGAGTCATCACCTGCGCATGTGTCAGATGGCCATTGGTGTCATTGTTTACAAACAAGCATCTACCCATTAGCCTTTGCGTTTTTAGCGTGTGCTGTTATCGTCGCCTGGGACTCAATTCCTGCGCGTACACAGGTGACAACCCTCTCGTTTTAAATCTTATTGCAGCTATATTAGTTATGTTCATCTTTGCAGTGTTATGAATGGATTTCTGAGGTTGCAATAACTCAGGTTTCTATGGTAACGGTGATGCAAATATCCAGCACAGGCACGATATTCATTGTATTCTATGCAAAACACAACTGACAATGTTAACTAGTACATATTAATTACAATGGTTTCAACAGCAGTAGTACAAAGCTTAAGGTCAAGATATTACTAAACTGGTTATAAGTGTCAGATTATGCGGTGAAGTACTTCTGTCAAAATTTATTGAACAGCAGTGTTGTTGGTGCAAAGTCCATGTAGGCGTTGAAACGGAGGCAGAGTTGACCATAGAATGGTATAATAACTGCTTGCTTAAGGCACCTTCTTTCAAAAAGGGTCCCCAGGGTTCTATAAGTCAGCTTACCCGATGAGTGTTCCTGTTCAATTGGTGAAGACTTCAGAGTTCGGCACCTGTGTTACCAGAACATTATAATTAGCATGTGTAATGAGTTCATTTTTAGGATCATGACCCTGAACAGCTGGGATCCAACAGCAGTCAGGTTGTAACTGATAGTAATCTTTTGTAAAGGCTTTGCTGTCAATGGAAAAATCTGTTGGGTGTTAATTTATTGTTTTCTTTTTGTAGACTGTTAGAGTTTGGATAGCTGCTAATAAGGAATGTAAATTGGAACTGCGAGAACATGAGCATGTAGTAGAATGTATAGCCTGGGCTCCTGAAACGGCACTTCCCACCATTAATGAAGCATTGGGATCAGAGGTAAGTATCCCCATAACATAGATGGTATTTAGTACTTCCCAGGAGAAGAAAGTACTGTGTAAAAACATATCATTATTATATTGCCTTACGACGGAATGATATTCAAAGTGATTATATTTAATACACTCATTCAGTTTAATTTTGTGTGGCCACATTAAACCAGATTTGATTTTCTAATACAAGCCTGATATATTTCTACACTACACATCTTTATTTTAAATTTCATATTGCGATTATGTTGACAGTTTTGTTTTGTTTATTTTACTTAATGTGTTTTGCTTTTATACATATTATTTCACAGCTTACAAATGATTCATCATCTAAAGACCAGGTATATTTTTTAGTTAAAAACGTTCCCTTTTCTGATACTTAGCTAGCTCAACTAGATAATTACTCTCGTGCATCTTTTCTTATAACTTTCTCTAGTAGATAAATCACTCGCAAGTTTTCACTCCAAATTATATTTATTTTTATTTGGAAATTTTATCAAAAGTAGATTCAATTAGAATGGCAGGCGACTTTTATTGAGATCAACACACTACTGTACTGCTTATTTCTTGTTGTAATATTTAGCATTACATCTGCAGTGCAACAATAGATTAGTAACACATTGACGGTTGTATTGTCAAAATCCCTTAACATGCAACGTACAATCCCATAATGCACAAAGTTTGTATTCCGGGCAATACTAGTACTTTCTTCTACTCCATATGCGTATTCCTACTAGGGAGTGAAAACTTTATTTCAGCTGTATAAATGTAGCTGATGATAGCCTCTATCTAACTTTAGGCTCAGTTTTTCCTGTGTGATAATTCTTTCAAAATCTTTTTCTTGTAAAAGGAAATTCTTAATTTAAAGCGACAATAGCTGGATCTATTTATCTTTTTTATCAGATTGTTATATGTAATAAAATATTTTTCTTGTCATTAGTTTCATTTTGTTATAGTGATTGTCAAAATGAGTGTAATTCATTCAAATCTAGTTTTGCTAAGGGAATCTCAGGGATTACAATATCATAACTTACCGAGTGCAGTGGGTGGAATCATGTCAAATACCTCTTGTTGGTCCTCTTACCAAAAAAAACATGTTCAAAAAGCTATTGTCACTTTAAATTTGCTCTGTCAGCAAAGAAGGGAAAGAGAATTTAGTCACTGTACTGTCCAAGTTATGAGTTCAATTCTTTATCTTTTTTTATTGGCAATGTAAAAGTATCCTGTTTCATC